ATGAACTCAGAATTATTACGCGTCATGACGTCGTACTAATTTTCGTGTTTTTCGTGATACAACGTCCAGACTTTCTCCATGTGGTAGGCCGTTGCGAAAGTCGACAAGCGTGCTGGGGTATTCTTTGATTTAGATTTTTTATATTCATTGTCGTTCTCGAGATATTTGAGAAAATATGAATATCGGGACTCGAAAAGATTTCATCAGAAATAATACTTCTCCAATGTTATCCTCCCAGTAGAGGAGCAATTTTGGGTAACAATGTGAAGAGACTTTTTCGTTGGTCGTCTTGATTTCTATCGAATTTCGGGCGAGAAACATACACTTGCCACTCACTTTTTTAACAATGAACTCAGAATTATTTCGCGTCATGACGTCGTACTATTTTGTTTTGTTCTTCGTGATACGGTGTTCGGACTTTCTCCATGTGGTAGGCCTTTGCGAAAGTCGACAGGGGTGTTGAGGTATTTTTTGATTTAGATTTCCTATATTTTGTGCGGTTCTCGAGATATTCGAGAAAATATGGATATCAAGACTTTGAAAAATTTCATCAAAAATAATACTTTTCCATTTTTTTCTTCATTAAAGAGGCAATTTTGAGTAACGATTTATGGAGACTTCTTCATTGATCGTCTTGCTTTCTATTGAATTTTTGGCAAAAAACATACACTTGTCACTCACCTTTTTGAATTCAATGAACTCAGAATTATTTCGCGTCATGACGTCGTACAAATTTTTATATTTTTCGTGATTCAATTTTCGAACTTTCTCCATGTGGTAGGTCGTTGCGGAAGTCGACAGTTGTGTTGGGGTATCTTTCGATTCAGATTCTCGATATTTTGTGCCGTTCTCAAAATATTTGAGAAAATATGAATATCGTGACTTGAAGGAATTTCATCAGAGATAATACTTTTCCAATTTTTCTCTTCCAGTGAAGAGGCAATTTTGAGTACCAAAGTATAGAAACTTTTTCGTTGGTCGTCTTGATTTCTATCGACTTTCGGGCGAAAAACATACACTTGTCACTCACCCCTTTTTTTCATTGAACTCAGAATTATTTCACGTTATGACGTCGTACTAATTTTTTTTTTTTCGTGATACGGTGTTGGGACTTTCTCAATGTGCTAGGCCTATGCGGAAGTCGACAACGGTGTTGGGGTATATTTTGATTTAGATTTTTGATATTTCGTGCCGTTCTCGAGATATTTGAGAAAATAAGAATATCGGGACTTGAAATTTTTCATCAAAAATAATACCTCTTCAATTTTTTTTCATAGTAAAGAGGCGATTTTGAGTAACAATTGATGAAGACTTTTTTGTTGGTCGTCTGGATTCCTATCCCTTTGGGCAAATAAAATACACTTGTCACTCACCGTTTTTCATTCAATGAACTTAGAATTATTTCGCGTCAAGACGTCGTACTAATTTTTGTGTTTTTCGTGATACAACGTTCAGACTTTCTCCATGTGGTAGGCCGTTGCGAAAGTCGACAAGCGTGCTGGGGTATTCTTCGATTTAGATTTTTTATATTCATTGTCGTTCTCGAGATATTTGAGAAAATATGAATATCGGTACTCGAAAAGATTTCATCAGAAATAATACTTCTCCAATTTTATCCTCCCAGTGAAGGAGCAATTTTGAGTAACAATGTGAAGAGACTTTTCCGTTGGTCGTCTTGATTTCTATCGAATTTCGGGCAAGAAACATACACTTGCCACTCACTTTTTCTCTCAATGAACTCTGAATTATTTCGCGATATGACGTCGTACTATTTTTTTTGTTTCTCGTGATACGGTGTTCGGACTTTCTCCATGTGGTAGGCCTTTGCGAGAGTCGACAGGGTAGTTGGGGTAGTTTTTGACTCAGATTTTTGATATTCATTGTCGTTCTCGAGATATTTGAGAAAATATGAATATCGGGACTGAATGATTTCATCAAAAATGATACTTCTCCAATTTTTTTTCCAGTAAAGAGGCAATTTTGAGTTACAATTTATAAAGACTTTTTTGTTGGTCGTCTTGATTTCTATCGAATTTTGGGCGAAAAACATACACTTGTTACTCACTTCCTTTTTTCATTGAACTCAGAATTAATTCGCGTCATGACGTCGTACTAATTTTTTTGTTTTTCGTATAGTATCACTGTGTCATATGCGAAGCTGAGTAGGTGAGCTGAAGTTGTAACAGAAAAAAGATTATTCAAATAGATTATGAATAACAATGGTCCTAGTACCGTCCCCTGGGGTACGCCGCATGATATAAGTTGCTTATGACTTACTTCGCCTTTGACTTTTGTTCTCTGGTATCTATTGGTTATGTATGATTTCATTAGATCGTGCGCCGTACCCCTTATACCAATTTCTTCTAGTTCATCTAGTAAGATGGTATGGTCCACTGTATCAAACGCTTTCGTTAGGTCCAAGAATATCCCTATGGTTGGTTTTTTGTTATCAATTGCATTATAGATTTTAGTCGTCAGCTCTCTTATAGCATCTTGGGTTGATATTTTTTGTCGGAATCCGTACTGATTATCTGAAAGTAGTTTGTTTTTTTCTACGAAACTGTTCAACCTAGATTTTATTATCTTTTCTAGTATTTTTCCTATATTTGAGATAAGTGCAATTGGACGGTAATTTGACATATCTTTTCTATCTCCACTTTTGTAATACTGATTGATTCTTTGAATTTATCTTGAAAAATGCCTGTTGCTAGCGATTTATTCATGATGTTAGTTAGTGGTAGTAGGATGAAGTCTGCAATGATTTTGATTGTCTCGTTTTTCAAGTCGTCTGGTCCTGGTGCTTTTTTGTTTTTAGAATCAAAAATTAGATTCTTCACCTCGTTTTCAGACGCGGGAAATGAAAAAATTGTTTTTTCCGAGTGTACTTTGTTTCCGTTAAAATCAGGTGAGGTTTTTATTTTTCTTGCCAGGTCATTACCAATATCAGAAAAGAAGTTGTTGAAGTCGTTTGAGATTTGTTTTGGGTTAGTGTTTGTATATCCGTGTTTATTTTTGATTTGTGTAATTTCTGATATATTTCTCGGTTTGGAGAGTTCATTTATAACCTTCCACAAGTTTTTAGGGTCCGGGTTTTCATTTATTTTGTTCCTATAGAATTCAGATTTAGTTCGCAATATCTGTCGGTTAACTTCGTTTTTCAGGTTAGTATATTCAGATTTAATCTCAGCGTTTTGGAAGTCTCTTTTCAGTTTTTTGAACATGTTATTCTTTTTGTTGATTAGTTTAATCAGTGATTGTGTTATCCAAGAGTTCCTCTTCCTCTCGTTGTTTCTGATTCTTATTTTAATTTCTGATTTCTGGACTGCATCTTGTATTAATGTGATAAAGCTGTTTACCGTTGCATTGAGATCATTGATTTGATTGAACTTAGCCCAATCGATTTGCTTCATGTTATCCAGTAACTTAATCTCATTGATTCGCGTAAAATATTTGTCATAACATGATTCTTCTTCATGTGGTAGGCCTTTGCGAGAGTCGACAGGGTAGTTGGGGTATTTTTTGACTCAGATTTTTGATATTTATTGTCTTTCTCGAGATATTTGAGAAAATATGAATATCGGGACTGAATGATTCCATCAGAAATGATACTTCTCCAATTTTTTTTCAGTAAAAAGGCAATTTTGAGTCACAATTTATGAAGACTTTTTTGTTGGTCGTCTTGATTTCTAGCGAATTTTCGGCGAAAAACATACACTTGTCACTCACTTCCTTTTTTCATTGAACTCAGAATTAATTCGCGTCATGACGTCGTACTAATTTTTTGTTTTTCGTGATACGGTGTTCGGACTTTCTCCATGTGGTAGGCCTATGCGGAAGTCGGCAATGGTGTTGGGGTATATTTCGATTTAGATTTTCGATATTTTGTGCCGTTCTCGAGATAGTTGGGAAAATATGAATATCGGGACTTCCTCTCATTGTTTCTGATTCTTATTTTAATTTCTGATTTCTGGACTGCATCTTGTATTAATGTGATAAAGCTGTTTACCGTTGCATTGAGATCATTGATTTGATTGATCTTAGCCCAATCGATTTGCTTCATGTTATCCAGTAACTTAATCTCATTGATTCGCGTAAAATATTTGTCATAACATGATTCTTTATTGTTTTTCACATTTCTTGTTACTATTTGTAATAGCGTTGTGAAGTGATCGGTTATATTGGTTTGTATAACGAGTGGTATTATGTTCTGATAGGTCTCACTTTTTGATTTTATAGAAATGTGATCTATGCAAGTACCTGAGTCGGGTCTTGTGATAGTGTTGATGGCGGATATAAAACCATGTTCACCTAATAGGGTAGAGTAATTTTGTACATCTTCCGAGTTCTTTGCTAATAAATTTAGGTTAATGTCGCCTATGAATACACTATAATCGTAATGCCCAGGATGATTTTCCAATACAATACCCAATTCGTTTAAAAAGTTCTCAATATTTTGATCTGATGGCGATCGGTAAAATGCGTTTACATAGAAGGTGGTTTTATCCAGTGCAAGTTTAATTTGTAGTAGAGAACTGCCATTTAGTGCTATATTTACATGCGAGCGGTATAGATTCGTTTTCACGAAGGCTATAACGCCGTCATTCTGATTTTTTGTACCTAGGTTATAAAGTGTTTTGTAACCATCCAAATTATACACACCAATATCGTCTACAATTCTGGTTTCAGTGAGAATTATACAATCAATAGAAGAGTCTAGTTCACTCAAGAATATCTTGAATTCATCGAAGTTCTTTCTTATGCTTCGGATGTTATTGTGTATTATTTGTAGATTTGAATTAATTTCATTCACTTGTAGCACTTGCTTTGCCTCCGAAGAATTTTGCAATTGGTAATTTTCAATTTCTTGAAGAGTAAAATCCCTTATATACGAGTTCATAATTTGTATTTACATATATGCGTAATGGTTTCAGCAATTTATGAAATATTAAATATAAACGAGAAAATGCACTAATGATTTAAAAAATTAGAAATAATGAAACTTATTCTGAGGGCATTCCATGGATTTGAGATGAGTTGGAATTTGACCGGGTTTTGATTATTTCACCGTAGTCCTTTGAGTTAACTTTTTTTATTGGCAGTGTCTCCTTCAGTGGTTTGGGAACTTCAATTTTTTTGGAGATAATTTGTGCCGTAGCTGGACTCTGTGTTGGTGTTGATGGTTCGCTGATGGTGTGCTCTCGAAGAATGTTTTCTCTTTCTTGTAAATCTTCAGCTGTGTATTCAATTCCGTCAACTATTAGCTTGTTGCCTCTGAGGTAACTCTTCTTTGAATTATCCTTTCTCACCCCTCGCAAATGAGATTTTAGGATCTTAAACTCTTCTTGTTGGTTTTGGGTGAGGTCGTGGGCTATAGCAATTCCAGTATTCTTCAAATTACTTATTTTTTGGAAGATGGTATTTTTCTTGAGATAGGATATGAACTCAATTTTGACTGGGCAGTTTTTATGCTTTCCTAAGCAGTATATATTGTTGATGTCGCATAAATTCTACTGAAATTTCATGTGCCTCTTCACCTAGTCCAAATACGATGATGTTATTCCGTTTGTTGTTTCTCTCTATCAGTTCGACTTTGTTCTGGAGTTTAGAGTTCTCTTTCTCTAGTGTGACTATCTCCTTTTTGAGATCTTCAATGGTGAGTTGCAATCTACATTCACTGGCTTGTATTGCATTCTTTGATTCTTCTTTGTTTTGTTTCATCTCATCTAACAGCAGTTTCATTGATGCGTCGTTCATAATTTAACTTGACAATATTGTTCGTGTACGGTTATCTTCAGTTAATTCACTCAATGAGATGATCAACCGGTGTATATATTTTTTATGCTTGTTTGTTGCTTGATTCCCAAAAGTATATTTGTGCAAATGAATGAGTGATAACTAGTTATCTGGTATGGTTCTTGAGGTAGTTATGAGCTCATGAGTATATGGTGGAATGGACTTACTACTTTGCACGTTGGAAGAAATTTTCAACATCAAGGTCCCACGTATTATCCGATTATTAACCAGGAGCACAATACTTTCACGTTTTCTATAAAGGGAACCGTATACTATATTGGTCATGACGTCGTACTATTTTTTTGTTTTTCGTGATACGGTGTTCGGACTTTCTCCATGTGGTAGGCCTTTGCGAGAGTCGACAGGGTAGTTGGGGTATTTTTTGACTCAGATTTTTGATATTTATTGTCTTTCTCGAGATATTTAAGAAAATATGAATATCGGGACTGAATGATTCCATCAGAAATGATACTTCTCCAATTTTTTTTCAGTAAGAAGGCAATTTTGAGTCACAATTTATGAAGACTTTTTTGTTGGTCGTCTTGATTTCTATCGAATTTTGGGCGACAAACATACACTTGTCACTCACTTCCATTTTTCATTGAACTCAGAATTAATTCGCGTCATGACGTCGTACTAATTTTTTTGTTTTTCGTGATACGGTGTTCGGACTTTCTCCATGTGGTAGGCCTATGCGGAAGTCGGCAATGGTGTTGGGGTATATTTCGATTTAGATTTTCGATATTTTGTGCCGTTCTCGAGATATTTGGGAAAATATGAATATCGGGACTTGATAAAATCTCATCAAAAATATTACTTTTCCAATTTTTTTTTCAGTAAATAGGCAATTTTGTGTAAGAACGTATAGAGACTTCTTCGTTGCTCGTCTTGATTTCTATCGAATTTCGGGCAAAAACATACACTCGTCACTCACTTCTCTTCTTTATTGAACACAAAATTATTTCGCGTCATGACGTCGTACTATTTTTTTTGTTTCTCGTGATACGGTGTTCGGACTTTCTCCATGTGGTAGGCCTTTGCGAGAGTCGACAGGGTAGTTGGGGTATTTTTTGACTCAGATTTTTGATATTTATTGTCTTTCTCGAGATATTTGAGAAAATATGAATATCGGGACTGAATGATTCCATCAGAAATGATACTTCTCCAATTTTTTTTCAGTAAAAAGGCAATTTTGAGTCACAATTTATGAAGACTTTTTTGTTGGTCGTCTCGATTTCTAGCGAATTTTCGGCGAAAAACATACACTTGTCACTCACTTCCTTTTTTCATTGAACTCAGAATTAATTCGCGTCATGACGTCGTACTAATTTTTTTGTTTTTCGTGATACGGTGTTCGGACTTTCTCCATGTGGTAGGCCTATGCGGAAGTCGGCAATGGTGTTGGGGTATATTTCGATTTAGATTTTCGATATTTTGTGCCGTTCTCGAGATATTTGGGAAAATATGAATATCGGGACTTCCTCTCATTGTTTCTGATTCTTATTTTAATTTCTGATTTCTGGACTGCATCTTGTATTAATGTGATAAAGCTGTTTACCGTTGCATTGAGATCATTGATTTGATTGATCTTAGCCCAATCGATTTGCTTCATGTTATCCAGTAACTTAATCTCATTGATTCGCGTAAAATATTTGTCATAACATGATTTTTTATTGTTTTCCACATTTCTTGTTACTATTTGTAATAGCGTTGTGAAGTGATCGGTTATATTGGTTTGTATAACGAGTGGTATTATGTTCTGATAGGTCTCACTTTTTGATTTTATAGAAATGTGATCTATGCAAGTACCTGAGTCGGGTCTTGTGATAGTGTTGATGGCGGATATAAAACCATGTTCACCTAATAGGGTAGAGTAATTTTGTACATCTTCCGAGTTCTTTGCTAATAAATTTAGGTTAATGTCGCCTATGAATACACTATAATCGTAATGCCCAGGATGATTTTCCAATACAATACCCAATTCGTTTAAAAAGTTCTCAATATTTTGATCTGATGGCGATCGGTAAAATGCGTTTACATAGAAGGTGGTTTTATCCAGTGCAAGTTTAATTTGTAGTAGAGAACTGCCATTTAGTGCTATATTTACATGCGAGCGGTATAGATTCGTTTTCACGAAGGCTATAACGCCGTCATTCTGATTTTTTGTACCTAGGTTATAAAGTGTTTTGTAACCATCCAAATTATACACACCAATATCGTCTACAATTCTGGTTTCAGTGAGAATTATACAATCAATAGAAGAGTCTAGTTCACTCAAGAATATCTTGAATTCATCGAAGTTCTTTCTTATGCTTCGGATGTTATTGTGTATTATTTGTAGATTTGAATTAATTTCATTCACTTGTAGCACTTGCTTTGCCTCCGAAGAATTTTGCAATTGGTAATTTTCAATTTCTTGAAGAGTAAAATCCCTTATATACGAGTTCATAATTTGTATTTACATATATGCGTAATGGTTTCAGCAATTTATGAAATATTAAATATAAACGAGAAAATGCACTAATGATTTAAAAAATTAGAAATAATGAAACTTATTCTGAGGGCATTCCATGGATTTGAGATGAGTTGGAATTTGACCGGGTTTTGATTATTTCACCGTAGTCCTTTGAGTTAACTTTTTTTATTGGCAGTGTCTCCTTCAGTGGTTTGGGAACTTCAATTTTTTTGGAGATAATTTGTGCCGTAGCTGGACTCTGTGTTGGTGTTGATGGTTCGCTGATGGTGTGCTCTCGAAGAATGTTTTCTCTTTCTTGTAAATCTTCAGCTGTGTATTCAATTCCGTCAACTATTAGCTTGTTGCCTCTGAGGTAACTCTTCTTTGAATTATCCTTTCTCACCCCTCGCAAATGAGATTTTAGGATCTTAAACTCTTCTTGTTGGTTTTGGGTGAGGTCGTGGGCTATAGCAATTCCAGTATTCTTCAAATTACTTATTTTTTGGAAGATGGTATTTTTCTTGAGATAGGATATGAACTCAATTTTGACTGGGCAGTTTTTATGCTTTCCTAAGCAGTATATATTGTTGATGTCGCATAAATTCTACTGAAATTTCATGTGCCTCTTCACCTAGTCCAAATACGATGATGTTATTCCGTTTGTTGTTTCTCTCTATCAGTTCGACTTTGTTCTGGAGTTTAGAGTTCTCTTTCTCTAGTGTGACTATCTCCTTTTTGAGATCTTCAATGGTGAGTTGCAATCTACATTCACTGGCTTGTATTGCATTCTTTAATTCTTCTTTGTTTTGTTTCATCTCATCTAACAGCAGTTTCATTGATGCGTCGTTCATAATTTAACTTGACAATATTTGTCGTGTACGGTTATCTTCAGTTAATTCACTCAATGAGATGATCAACCGGTGTGTATATTTTTTATGCTTGTTTGTTGCTTGATTCCCAAAAGTATATTTGTGCAAATGAATGAGTGATAACTAGTTATCTGGTATGGTTCTTGAGGTAGTTATGAGCTCATGAGTATATGGTGGAATGGACTTACTACTTTGCACGTTGGAAGAAATTTTCAACATCAAGGTCCCACGTATTATCCGATTATTAACCAGGAGCACAATACTTTCACGTTTTCTATAAAGGGAACCGTATACTATATTGGTCATGACGTCGTACTACTTTTTTGTTTTTCGTGATACGGTGTTCGGACTTTCTCCATGTGGTAGGCCTTTGCGAGAGTCGACAGGGTAGTTGGGGTATTTTTTGACTCAGATTTTTGATATTTATTGTCTTTCTCGAGATATTTGAGAAAATATGAATATCGGGACTGAATGATTCCATCAGAAATGATACTTCTCCAATTTTTTTTCAGTAAGAAGGCAATTTTGAGTCACAATTTATGAAGACTTTTTTGTTGGTCGTCTTGATTTCTATCGAATTTTGGGCGACAAACATACACTTGTCACTCACTTCCATTTTTCATTGAACTCAGAATTAATTCGCGTCATGACGTCGTACTAATTTTTTTGTTTTTCGTGATACGGTGTTCGGACTTTCTCCATGTGGTAGGCCTATGCGGAAGTCGGCAATGGTGTTGGGGTATATTTCGATTTAGATTTTCGATATTTTGTGCCGTTCTCGAGATATTTGGGAAAATATGAATATCGGGACTTGATAAAATCTCATCAAAAATATTACTTTTCCAATTTTTTTTTCAGTAAATAGGCAATTTTGTGTAAGAACGTATAGAGACTTCTTCGTTGCTCGTCTTGATTTCTATCGAATTTCGGGCAAAAACATACACTCGTCACTCACTTCTCTTCTTTATTGAACACAAAATTATTTCGCGTCATGACGTCGTACTATTTTTTTTTTGTTTCTCGTGATACGGTGTTTGAACTTTCTCAATGTGGTAGGCCTATGCGGAAGTCGACAATGGTGTTGGGGTATATTTCGATTTAGATTTTCGATATTCTGTGCCGTTCTCGAGATATTTGAGAGGATATGAATATCAGGACTTTGAAAAATGTTCTCAAAAATAATACTTTGCCAATTTTTTTTCCAGTAAAGAGGCGATTTTGAGTAACTATTTATGAAGACTTTTTCGTTGGTCGTCTTGATTTCTATCGAATTTTGGGCGAAAAACATACACTTGTCACTCACCTTTTTTCACTCAATGAACTTAGAATTATTTCGCGTCATGACGTCGTACTAATTTTTGTGTTTTTCGTGATACAATGTTCGGACTTTCTCCTTGTGGTAGTGCGTTGCGAAAGTCGACAAGGGTGTTGGGGTATTCTTTGATTTAGATTTTTAATATTTTCTGCAGTTGTCGAGATATTTGGGGAAATATGGATATCGGGACTCGAGAAGATTTCATCAATAATAATTCTTGTCCAATTTTATCCTCCTAGTAAAGAGGCAATTTTAAATAACAATGTTAAGAGACCCTTCCGTTGGTCGTCTTGATTTCAATTAGATTTCAGGCGAAAAACAT